ATGGCAGAGTTGCTGAGACCTGCGGTACAAGAGGTAGACGAAAGAGTGAGAGTTGTAAGGTGAGGTTACGTTACTTTTGACTGAGTTGAATCAAATCACATTCACGAATGGAATCGACTGTCATGTCATGTCTCAGGCTCTACTGTCTACACATATCCTGACTGTGTAAAAGCTGTGCTATTTGATTCTCCACTGTACAAAACTCAACTGATTTCACTAAAAATCGGTAGGCCTACTGTTTAGTGATAATTGATGACACCTAAATAGTAGTAAAATACTTTTTTTTCCAACTTTCTGATGTTAGAAAGAATAAATTGTGAATCTGTCAAACTTGCCGATCAGCCGCTTCGGCATGATTGTGTGCATTTGTGTGTTGTGAGTGTATTGACTTTTCATTCGAGTGCTGCCAATTAACACGTATAGAGTCTAGACCTAGTAGTAGTAGTGTAGTGCTAACGTTATTAGAGGTCAATACGTATTAGCATTGACTGTCTTAATGCTTTGCTGGAGTGGCTCTAGATCTAGTTAGTGTCTGATTAGGATTAGGATTAGGCCTTAGCCTCGGCAGTATTAATTAGCATGATTAATGGTTAATCTGAATGAATTGATTATTGAACTTCAAATTGTTACATTGGCTTCAACTAAATCTGAATTACTATACTACTATTACTATACACCTACATTAGTCATGTCAGTTTCTTAATCCTTTTTTAAGCCAGGCTCATTCAGTTTTCGTAATTTTCTGATTGATAATAATATTACCTCGGGAGGGGGGGGGGGGGATGGTGGAGGTTCTCAGATTGGTTTGGTTTGGACGGGGATGTGCCGCTCAAGCCTCGAAACCCCTACCCATTTTCTAGGTTCTTTTGGGTGGATTTTTCTCGAAATAATGGCCCATTTTTTTATAATGTTCGGGTGTTTGCTAAATGCAAACTCGAACACCTTTAGGGATATTCTCGTAAAAATAGGACCCATGTTTAGGGACTTTTTGTGAAAAAATGGCCCATTATTAGAGCTACACAGTGCACACCCCTGTATAATATGTGAGGATTCCCCCCCCCCCTAGTTTCTTAGTGACGCTCCAGTCATGAAAATAAAGTGGTCTAGGTCTACTTGAATATCAACCCAATAATATTTTGTTCTTTTATGCTCCAGTCCAACATTCTAAATGAGGCAGACATTTTAATGAAGGTTGAGTATAAATGGGGCACTGGAAGTCTTTTCCAAATTATTAATAACATTCATAATTTTCCTGAAACTTTCAGGCATGTCACTGTCAGGGGACTGACTGGGGGGATAATCTTTCTTACATTAATGAGGCAGCCATCCATCTCCAGCCTAACCGCTCACGATGAGGTCTCCTGCATTCTAAATTACCTTTCTAATTTATTGAAAATATTTCGTATTTCTTACCTTATTTGTATGCTTCGTACATGTTTATCGTATGATATAATTGTACATGATTTTCCATTTAATTACTTTTGTAAACATTTTATTTGTTATTGTTCAAATTTTTGTACTGTGAATTTGAATTTGTATATTTTTGAACGCAGAAATAAAATAAATCAAACAAACAAACATTAACACATGAATCAATGGAAAATGTTGAACTAGCACTGTACCAGTAATTTATCTACAATATGTCCATCACATTAAATTATCAAATAGATCATCTAGATGATCTAGCTCAAACGTTAAGTCAACATATTTTCTGAAATTTTCTGTTGACATTTTTTACTTTCCATTTTTGTCAATTATAATTTTAGGGAGAGTCAGGTTGAACTGAGGCAAAGGATAGAAGAGTTGGACGATGGTAAGTGTGATGAAACTCTAGGTAAACCAGTCGGCCCATGTATTGTTATCATTAATTAATTAACAGTCACCGTATTTTGTTTAAGTGGAGCTGAATTGGTATGATCGTATTGGCTAAATTTCACACATTTTGGGGTCTAAAATTAACTTCATAGCAATTTTAGGTCCTAAAAAGGCACTAGAAATGTCATAGATAAGAATAAGAGCAATAACCATGCACTCTGAAGGCATTAGCAGTCTGAAAATAGAACTCAACTATCCCTTTAAAGAATCTCATACCCGGTACTTTTGGTCGGATAGGTTTTTAGATTTGGTGAAAATAGGTTGTTGGATTTCTTGTTGGACTTCAGTGTAACATCTTCAAGGAAAATGATTAAAACAAGTGTTTCAGAGCAAACTCGGCCTCTTAAATGTGAACACCACAGCCATACTGACAGGGCTGACAAGAGACTGCTGAAAATAGCACGAAACAACAAATCCTGGTGAAATTATGGCCAAGCATCAGTCAGTTTAGACTTTGGAATTGGTTTGGATTCAACTTGGCAGTTTGACAGAAAATTTAATCCTGAGAAGCCAAAGACGAAAGTTCACTTAACATAACACTGACTTTGCATTAAATTCATTGAAAAAGCTTGTCAAGGAAATGAGTTAAAGAGTCTTGCATCTGCTGAGTAAAAGACAAATAAAGCATATATGCCGATTTTATAATAATAACAATAATAGTGGGTTTTTGTATAGCGCTCATGTCTGTCATATGTGACACTCCTGCTGCTCCCATTTATTACCCTTGCTTTACACACTCTATGAGAACAATGGAACATACAGTCATATCTGTATGATAGGGGTTTGGGTGTCCACAAAGACTTCTCTTCTCGATTCAACAGAAAATATTTGTTAAATAGCACTAACCATCATGAATGTTTTACCTTAAATAAATATTAAATTAATTATTTAAATAATATTGTCCAATATAAGTTTAAGAAGATTTATCAAATGTTGCTTGTAAACTTCTTTAAATTGCTGTTTAAATCAGCTTTCCAGATACACAACCTATCCGGGCACACAATGTCTGCATGTAGTTGATTTATTAAATTGCAAGTGATTCATAGGACTGTTGGTGACAGTGTAGAGCAACCCACCTCCAACCTCCCCCCTCCCCCTCCCCCCTCCCCCTCCCCCTCCCCCCTCCCCCCCCCCTCCCCCCTCTCCCCCTCCCCTCTTGACCTACTGGATTTTATTACAAACTTCGAAGTAGTTGAGCAAAGGCTAGCCCTTAATATCTTCCAGTACCGGTATACAAAATGATCATGAAAAAAAAAGGATGTTTGGAGCCACGAGTGTTAACTCTGTGTTATGGAACATGAGTTAATGACTGTATAGCTCTAAACAGACAAACATTTCATAGCCCAGTTAATATTAAAATGCTAATAAATTATGTTGTTTCCTTCCCTCCCTCCTCCCCTTTTTATCACATGCTATAGCTCTAAGAGAACTGTGCAAAGAAAAGAGCGCCCCCATCGATTTAGATTTATACGTCAAGAAGCTGGCCAACTGTAAACGAAGGATAGCCACAGTCAATAATATTGTGCAGAATGCTCAGGTCAGTGATATGTCTAGTAGTAATAGAATTGTTTTATTAGATCAACTGCAAAATGGTAGCCCGAAAGCTAAATTACATTGCAAGTTTTGCAAGCTTAGTTTTAAAAAGCATTTCAACAAAACTTAGATATAGATAAGTACAAATGATACACAGTAAAAATCATAACTTATTACATATTCCATACTTGCAAACAAATTGATGATACAAATAGAATAGATTCGTCATTATTATTTTTGTAATCATTGTTAAGTGAGGAATATTCATATTTTAAATAGAAATTGATGCTGATTAATTGAGTTTATGACAAGCAAATACTTAAATTTGACTAAACTGCATAGTGTTTGACAATCAATCAAAAATTAACTTGTTGAAAACGCTTCAAATTTTAAAGAGAGGGTTGAGTTCTGGTGAAGATGATTAATAATGTGAGCTTTCTCTTTATTTGAGTGTATGCTAGGAAGATTATCATCGTAGAAATATCTCACTTGAAGGGTTGTTCTTAAAATTCTGTCGTATTCCAAATATAACTGGAATAGATGAAAAATATGGAAAAAATGTTTGTGTGTTGTCCCATATACCCATTTCTGTGTGCAGTGCATGCTATCTTCAGCAAGATTAGATCATTGCCTTACGTATTAAACATACCAAAACTTCACAGTATACATCTATGTACAGTAACATAATCAAGCATTCCCACTTGCTTTCAGACAGTTTCTTATACAATAAAATCACATGACCAGGGCCCAGTTTCACAAAGATCCTAAGTCGACCTTAAATCTAAGTTGGACTTAACAATTATGGAAAGCCGTTAGCATCATTGAAAATATTTTGTAAAATTGTTCTAATAGCCATAAAATGTTGATTCAAATCATTCATATTTTCTATTATCTTGGGAGATTTCATGTTCTTGATGTGGAATTCATGAAAAAGTCTGAAATACTTGAATTTTGCTTTTGAATGTATTTTATTATAAGGCTACAAATGGCTCTCCATAATATTTTAGTCCAACTTAGAGTTTAGTTCAACTTAGAATCTTTGTGAAACACCCCCCAGAACTCAACTACATCTCTGAAACACATAACGGTGAAAGTTTCTGTAAACATATATATATGACATTCATGGCATCTTCATGTGCCTGCATGGCATCTTTGTGTGCCATGAAGATAGATGTGAATTTAGGTCTTCAAGCTAACATCCTCCCTAAGGGAAGAGAATAATAAACAAAAACTGCATCATGAAACTGTAAAATGTCTACCTTCTAAATTGCAAAGACATTAGGAGTTCATTACAATGCTTTAGATCCTAAATTATTCCGCCATTCTGGTTAATTACAGATAATCGTGATGTGGCCATTCTCAAAAATATCATTTGTGCTACTAAGTTACCGAAGGCAATACCTCAATCTTCCGTACATCCAATTTATTATTTAAAACCTTTTTTTCATACTTCTTTACTCTGTACTAAACTTCAGCATGTTTTTGTTTTCCCATTGTTCTTTCTAATTAAACCATCATGAAAGAGTGTATAAGTTGTGACATTGCATTTATTCATATTAAGTGCTATATCATCATCTCACTACTTTGCATGCCTTCCAATCTAAAGTCTTTTTGCACCATATAATCAAGGTTTCTTATGTTCTCTTTAACGTCCAATATTTAATTTTTTTTCTTCATTTACTAATGAAATTTTAAAATGTGTTTTTATGATTGATGCAATGTTTGTAGGTGATAAGGAGAATGTACAGGCTAGATAAATTTGTATCTAGTAATTATGTCTAGTGCTTAAAACTTAAATCATTATGAAATGTAAAATGGGATATCTTGTATATGTACAAGTGTAAAAGGTAAGAAAATTCAGGTGTCCCAGTTGTCGTGAATTTTTCACAATTTGTTCAAGATGTCACAATTCTCACAATTTGCATTCATGATCATGTCAATCAAGCTTCAATACATTGCATCTCTATCTCCCCCTTCTCCCTTCCCCTTCTCTCTCTCTCTCTCTCTCTCTCTCTCTCTCTCATCTCTTCTCCCTTCCCCCTTCTCTCTCTCTCTCTCTTTTGCTACCTCTCTCCACCCCCTCTCTCTCTCTCTCTCCCTCTCTCCCCTTTTCTCTCTCTCCCCTTTCTCTCTCTCTCCCCCTTTTCTCTCTCTCCCCTTCTCTCTCTCTCCCCCTTCTCTCTCTCTCCCCCTTCTCTCTCTCTCCCCCTTCTCTCTCTCTCCTCTCTCTCTCTCTTCCCTTTCTCTCTCTCCTTCTCTTTCTCTTCCCTTTCTGTCTCTCCTCTGTCTCTCCTCTGTCTCTCTCTTCCCTTTCTTCCTCTCTCTCTCTCTCTCTCTTTTCCCTTTCTCTTTCTCTTCCCTTTCTCTCTCTTCTCTCTCTCTTTTCCCCTTCTCTCTCTCCTCTCTCTCTTTCTCTCTCATCTCTCTCTCTCTCTCTCTCTCTCTCTCTCTTCATGTCGCTCCGTCTCTCTCCACCCTCATGCATACACACTATCCACTTGCATCCAACAGGAGCGCCTTGGAAGACTCCATTTCCACATCTCGCGTGAGACGGCTAAGCGGAAGGCCCTCATTGACCCTCCCACCGCTGGTCCCCTACCATGAGAGACTATGCCTGGGCATGTTTGGCATCGATTGGTAATTAAATTGGTAGACTAGATGTTTTACGAGTGCATGAGTTTTGTTTCCTGGCATTATCGTGAAATAGGAAACCACCATTTAATCTGTACGTTAATTCTTCATTTCATCAAACGCATAAGTTTCTTTCCCCTTCCATAGACTTTGCATGCAATTGTCGCTGTGCAAAAAATGAGTAGTTTCCCAAACCACGATCTTGTCAGTTTCTCTCTCTATGCAATTAAAGAATGCCTAAACAAGTTATGAATTATAGATATTGCCTTTTTTTCTTTTTATAATTGATAATAATAGTGGGCTCTTGTGTAGCGCTCATGTCTGTCCGAATCGACACTCCTGGCGCTTCACATTAATTACCCTGGCTTTAGCATTAGTTGCACTTTTAGAATTAGTTGCACTTTTGTAATTTCTGGAATGCTCTAAACTCTAAAGTTGTATTTTTGTCAGCATTACTGCTTAGGATTACGATTTAAAGTGTTCAAGTAAGCTTCTTATTTGCATTTGTTTTCCAGATTTTATATCAAGTATCAAAGAAAAAAGAAAAAGAAATTCAGTACACCATAGACAACTTATTTTGCCCATCAGGGACTCAGTCAAAGGTCATATGGTTTCAAGAGTGAATGCAATAAAAAACCAGTCCTGGGGGGTGTTTCACAAAGATCTTAAGTTGAACTAATCTCTTAGTTGTACTTAACAATTATGGAAAGCCGTTAGCATCATTGAAAATCTTTTGTAAATGTTATTTTAAAATGCATAAAATGTTGATTCAAACCATTCATATTGTCTATTATCAAGGGGATTTCATGTTCTTGATGTGGAATTTATGAAAAGTCTAAAATACTTGAAGTTTTGCTTTTGAATAGATTTATTTTAAGGCTACAAATGGCTCTCCATAATATTTAAGTCCAACTTAGAGTTAAGTTCGACTCGGGATCTTTGCGAAACACCCCCCTGAAATATCTCCATGGAGTAGGTCGATAGAAAACCTTGATGTTATTTCCGGTAATATCCCATTTACATCAATGAGACTGACACCAGACTGACTACAGACCAAACCTAATATTACTTTTAATACCTCCAATGGACAAACAAAATGGTCGGTTTGGAGTTGGTCAGGTAGTGTGACTCCATTATTAGGGATTCAACATTTATGTTAAATTTTATGATAGTCTCAAAATTATATGGCATTTAACATGACATATGAGGTTCGGGGGGGGGGGGGGTGATAGGTACTTCAATCAATTAGACAAATGGTATTCAATGTTTAATTTTTTAAGAAATCAAAAATAATGTTCATATGTATTTATTGATTTCAGTTGAAAGTTCATACAATGTATGGTGTTTTTATTTCATGATAAGTTTATGAATACCGTATACCCATGTTCATGCATTCTCTCCAAAGTTTATTCCTCTAATTTGATTACGCTCCTATTATTTTCATGGATATAAGTTTGCTTTTGTTTGTGTCATACTTCATGAAAATTACAGTACATTCATTGTTTGCTTCAATCCATTTTACTATTCTTTTTAATTCAGGAAAGCACTTTTAATCATCAATCACACATTCATCATGTGCATAGCCACTGTCTAATGATGGGTCATCTGTTAACATTTCTCACAGAACTTTTAATCTCACATATATATATTGGAAATCACTGTTTTAATTTTGTTTTTTGTTTTGTTTGTTTGTTGTTGTTGTTTTTTTTTTTTTTTTTTGGGGGGGGGGGGGGGGGTTATCTTATATTTTAAAAGATATTTGTACATTATTGAAGGGTATAAATCACACACACACACACAAACAATTTGCACTGTATGTTAAGGGGATCCAAGTCACAATGAACTTCAAAAATTACTCCTACAAAAAGATTTTGCACTGATGATGCATAGTTTTTGCTATATATACCGGTATGCAAAATAGTGGTAGAGATCAAATTTCTCCTCCCCCCCCCTTTCTTCTCTCTCTCTCTCTCTCTCTCTCTCTCTCATTGTCTATCTCATGATTGAAATCTCTTTGTTTTCTGTACAGGACCGAGTGATGAAGCTGGACGATAAAGTAAACACCACAACGAGAAAGCGTTATCGCCTGATGACAAGACTTCGGGATAAGCTCTCCTTTGAGTCTAACCCTGAGCCAGAGGCAGCCATTGATGTAGCCCATGACAAGCCTTTAGATGGGGGCCAAGAAGACACAAGCCAAGAGGATGCAAGACCTGACGTGGAGACAGAGAGCAGGGAGGAGGAATCATCCTCTGAAAAGTGATTGGAATTCTGATGGACATTTTGTCTTTAAATCATATGCTTTAATATTGCTCTATCTTTATATCAGACAGTGACTGGAAAAGTGTTGGAGAGTTGATGGATTTTTTTGTCATTTAATCATCAAAAACATTGATTGCTGCTCTTTGTTTTTACTTCAGACAATGACTGTTGATTCAACGCTGAACGATCCATGAATAGATATGTGATAGAGGTTAATTTTAACTTGATGAATAACATCACATATGCCATTTTATAATGACCTACATGTAAAATGATGTAATTATTGTTCAGGGCCAACATATACGGTAAGACCATGATTGCTTCTGTATTTTGACAAAAGTTCAGTTGGATTAGGTAAGATTTTTTCTAAAGATATAAATTCTTCATGTTTGAGGTCTTGGATTCAGCATGGTCAAATAAGTAATGAAAAAGAAATGTCAAGATACAATGTTACCTCGTTTTAAGCAGCTCCTCGGGAGCACTGAAATGTCCTAGTTATATTGGGTTTCTGGTTATAGCGGAGCTTGTTATAACATGGTTCCATGATTTTTGCAAGGTATTGCAAGCCTTCAGATAGGAGAAAGGGCCTAATTGCGGGCTACAAGATAGCAAGCAGCAGTAATGTGCCTAGTCTCCAGTAACTAAGCCCCCACATTGCATTGAACTTAGCATTGATGGTAACTTTGCCATCAATAGTAACTTCCATGGGAACCTTCATTTGATTGACTGTTGAGTGATGTCACCATGGTAGTTGATAATGATGGGAAAGTTACCATCAGTGATTAATTTTATGCAATGGCCATTGGAATACTCACAATACTATGCAATATTGATTAATGGCAATGCTATCCTATAAATGGCCATTCAGAAACTTGATCAGGAAGAAATTACATTTTAAATGTGGTCATATCTAATCCCTGTTGGAATGTTGTCCGTAAAGATCTAGTCAGGTCTGTCAGGTGTGTGGTGTTCTTACAAGATTTTACTGTTCATACAACTCTATCCAATGCAACAAGAAATATGAGATAGAGACTTTTATTTGTAAGACTACACTTTAACGTTGTTCATGTACATATATATGAAATGCATTTAATACTAATAATGATACAGTTCTTGTAAAAGGGGAATGGCCATTGCGGAATGTCTACTTGTAACTCTTGCCTGTCTCATCTAATAGTTCTTTATCTTTAGTCAGATTCTTATAAAAACCTTCACTGACCAATTTCTATCGTTTTCCTGCTTTTATTCAAATCAACAAGATATTGGGGTCCACTTCTCCTCTAAAAGCTAAGAATGTCTATGTATGTAATGGTGGTGGTTATGGTGGTGGTTATTCTACCTGACTGCTAAGAAAGCATAAATGCTTGTAAATAAGCAGCCACACGGCCAACGGATTTAGGTCCTCTCCGAGGGACCTGGTAATGAGGATTAATGCCTTACCAAAGGGCACTAGCGAATCCCCTTGGTTTCGAACCCGGGTCACTGGATTACGAGATCACTGCTCTACCGACTGAGCTAGTAAAGAGCTAGTAAAAGTAATATTTCGTATATATTTGTCCACCTGTCGGTGTATCTCTTGCCTGTTCTAACTAGTCTTTAAATATCCCAATTGATCAGTATATTTAAGGGTCAAAGGGTAATTAGACCGACGTCTGATGAGACGAATTGATAATAATTGGTTCGGTAATATTAATGAAAAGTATATCAACAAATTGTGATTAGCTGGGAAGTGGATGAATTGGTTCAAAACCAAACAACAGTTGAGTAACAACTTGTTTTTCAGTGAACCAGCAATCTTAAAGAAATGTTTATGAATGTATGAAATATTTAATACAAAGGTACATATAAAATTTTTAAAAAATGATAAAAAAATCAAGGATTTAGAAAAGGTATTAAGAGTTATAAAAAGGTATATAATGCTTAGAAATGTACTACATGTATATGAAGAATTTGTAATAAAATAATCTCATTCCATCTTGAAATATTGATATTGTGTTTACTACATCAGATGCTCTCTCTTTATCATTCTGTCCCCCTCTCTCTCTCTCTCTCTCTCTCTCTCTCTCTCTTTCTCTGTTTGTCGCTCTCTCTCTCTCTACATGATAATAGACCAGTTCACAGTTAGCACATGTCCCAAGTGACCCCGAATGTCCCCAGATCTTGAAAACACGAAGAGGTCCCACTTTGTACAGTTTGAAATAATCCCTCCTACAGCGATGGAGGTGCTACATAGATGGCCTTTGTTTCCCCTTTTCAAAGAATACTTCCAACTGTGTATCATGGAGTGCACTGCTTGTGCATAAATGAATAATGATAACATAACTTTCATGAGTACGTATTTAATATTTTGTCTCTGTGTATTTCACAATTTGTTCTGCAATGACCTTTATCCTCTAAGTGCAACTGTGAAGTGGCTTATTGCATCTTGTCTTAAAACCTGTACAGAATTTATCATGTACAGCTATTGAGCAACTTTTTTCATCATACAGCAGCAACTCTTTATGACAGCATTGGAGCCATAGTTAAATCAAGTATCTTGTTATATTAGGCCTGGAAAAAAAAAGAATATAAAGAGCTGGGACCAGCAAAATTGCCTTGTTATATCAGTTCAGAGCTCCTTATAACAAGTTTTCATTGTACATGACAACACCCCGCCCCCCCCCCCCCACTTGGTGTTATGTAGGGTACGCATAATTATGCATGTTCCCTCCTTTTGAAAACTCCCCCCTAAGTCCGGTGTGTAGAGTCAATACGAGCCAGATTTTTATGTACTTTGAGCCAGATTTTGGTGCATGAAAAGTACCCCTTTACCGGACATTTTGGGAACATGCATGGTATCCCTCCATTCACGGAGTTGGGGGGGGGGGGGGGGGCGGGGACAACACGGGATACAAGGGACATGCTCACGGAGGTGCATTATTTAAAGGCAGGATATATTACCATCACTTCTGCTCACAATGTCCCGACGTGTCGACTGTATCATGTAATGATGATGGGCTACAAGAACCAGAATCGCTTTAAGTACGCCTTTATACGCCTTAAATATATTAAAGCAGTGGAAGCGATGTCTGTAAAATACCCTGCCTTTCAAACGGATGATGTAAAGTCTCTCCATTTCTGCTTCATACCTGGGGGGCGTTTCACAGAACTTGTCATCAGTGACAAATGACAGTTTTTGTAATAAACTACAGAAATCCTTGCTTCCGATTGGTTATCAGCAGATTTATCACTGACTTTTGTAATTTGTCATTGTAAAAAGGCTTTGTTCCAATCGTCTATCTCCTGCTAAATAAGTTTTTTTTCATAGTACCGTAGTCTTCATCACCACTTTCTTTTCTTCTTAGCATTATTCCCACAATTGTTTAACCATTTTGAGGTTGACATACAAGATAAATGAAAGAATAAATGGATGAAGGGATAAATATAATTCGAGGATTTATTCAAAATCAAAAATCTTGTACAAAGAATGTTCAGATACGAGTAATAAAAGTTATATAGTTTCTTACATAGGCATAATTAAATAATACTTACTTTAACATGGTTATATATTACAGTATTCCCTGATTTATAACGTGTAATTGTACTCTGTGGTTAAAAAAAGGGCTCTTCACTTTTGTAGTATTTGAGAATATTTTCTTGTTAACAAATATCTAACACATACATGTATATGTCCGTTTAAAACAATTTTACTGCTTCACGTACCAAACAAAGCACTAGTAAATGCCCTTTTTATGAAGGTGAATAAAACCACATGTGAACAAAAACATATTCCTGTATATCAAGGCTTCTTTCAATAACAAATGGCAAATTTCTACAGGAGTTTAGAATACTGTTATTTTGCAGGCTTTTCCAGGTATGCACTCGTGTGTAATAACTCCCCATAATCTGATAATAACACTAATGGAATAGTGCACCTGTCTCCCGAGGTAGATTATTCTGGTCATGTGACACAATGCATTACTGTACGCATTACCCACTATGCAGACATCCTATGTGCTAGCCCAAGTTTGCTGAAGTCTGTCGACTGCACCTCTGTAGAAAAACAGACTGGTTACATTCTGATCAGGTCACTTTATGGGTCTGTTCCAGGTAGACAATAACATTACTCTCCAAGGCAGTGTTTCACGTAGGTAACTATCATTTTTAAGTACAATTTCATGGATATATATCCTATTGAAACTTGTGTATTAAAAATAACAGGCTGTAGAAACCAGTCAACTGTGTAGTCTCCTGTAGAAACAGGTTGATTATCAAAGTGCTTCTTTGGTAGGGTTGAATGATTTTGTAACCTTAGATAATCCTTGGAAGTACCTTATTTTACTAGACAAAATAGTGATAAACATCAAAACCATTCACATATCTTGTTTGATTGGTAGGAATATTATCTTCATCATTTCAGATTAAATGGTAAAGAGAAAAAATGTGCCTTTTGAAGGCAAGACATTTTATAAATTGTTTCAAAATATAACTATTCAAGTTATATTTTTAAAAGGAATTCATTTTTACTTCAGAGGTTCGTTAAGATATGACGCGGCAAAACTGCAGTGGTATTTTCCATGATCTATGATGTAATTGTAATACACTTCACATTTCTGAATCTTATAACATAGAGCTCAGTTAATATGTAAAAGTCCTTTGTTGCGTGCAACTGCCATTCAGTTTACACATTTAGAAAATGGGGCAGTTTTTTTACTGCGCCCAATCTGAAAAAGCCTTTAATGTCACATTGATATTTGTCCCACTCGATGAAATACAAAATACATACTAAAATTCAACGCTCTTCAGTGACTACCCCTGCTAATTTTTCCTCTATCCATCACAAGCAAAAATGGCGCCTTATGAATAATTCGAAAAGCATATTAACATTCAGTACCATAAGAAAGCAGATAGAAAGAATTAAATCATGATTTTTAAAATCTAAATAACACTTTCTGAAAATGGTAATCTGATTAGTAGTTTTTAACAACTAAATAACACTTTATAGTCATTAATATGAAACAAGAATACCACAACAGATGATCCTTTTTTCAATATTGGTGTCTCACACTGCTTATAAAAATATTAAATATCCAAAGAATGGAGAGGAGGGGGGGGGGGGGGGGGGTGGTGTAGTCATTGGATTACAACTAACACATGCCTGAGTCTTGTATCTTATATCAATCCAACAGCTAAGGCATACTATAAAGCTGTGAAATGACAGGAAAATCATTTGATCTAGTATTTATTGCTGCAAACATGTATTCCAAGAGAAGTCTAATTCAGGCTGCATTTAAATTGCTCAACAAAATGCGCTTTAATTTACAAAACCTGAATGAAAGTGTTTAATAAAAAAACACATGGGTAAGTCTAAGGTGGTGAATTTGGCCTTCCGGGAATCGTTTCACAAAACAACGCTAAGTACAAGTTTGCCGACATCCCACTCAAACAAGGCTTAAATCTAATATATATGTTTTAATGAGATGTCAGAAAACTTGTACTTGAGACAGTTTCATGAAACAATGCTCATGCCCTAATACTGACAAAGTACTGACATTTTGATTCTTAGTATCCATAACAAATACTCGGGACCTTTATCAGAAAGATTTTAAGTGCTTGAATTTCAATGACTTAAGTAATTGCGATTTCTTTGAAAATTGGATTACAGTCAGATCATATAGTATGCCATGAGCTTTAAAAAGTGTGTTCATAGCCTTCCAAGTTTCAAGCACTTCTTGATTAAGTTAACTCTGCGTAACTCAAAGTCGCACAAATAAAATTTTCCCAATAGCGGATCGTTCGTTTTCTTTTTTACCAAAGTATGCAAAACATGTTATCTACGATTCCTGAGTTAAATTTTTCATAATTCTAACTATTTTTTGCGGTCCCAACAGATTAGATTTATACAAATTTAACTGTGTTTCTTGACTGGTCTTGGTTTGTTCCTTCTGTGTTCATAGCTTGGATGTTGGTGATCGTTTTACAGATGCTCTGATCAATCCATAGGGTTTGTCTACTGGCATCAGAACCTGCAGGTCATACAGAAGGTCAGCAAAGGTTAAAGGTCATGCATTTGATGATCTCCTAAACGTTGTCATTGAATGAATAAGTTCTAAACCCTAACAGCACAGACCTAAATCCTTGATATTATTTCTGCAATTAATATGTAAGTAAATGAACAGATGAAGCTATGCATCATATTTTTTATACAACAGATCTTCTACACCCTTCTGGAGCTCCTGGTGCATAGTAAACACATGATCAGATGGCTCTGCATGAACATAACTGCAGAACGTTTAAAAGGTATAGACCAGTTTTGAAAACGCCCCCCTCTCAAAAAATGAATTGGAAGCTCTTATTACCAATCATGTGAAAGAATATGTTTTGACTAATACACGATGATACATACAAATTTTGCAAGGAAACTGCCAACTAACTGATATATTTGGTAAATTATCATATCGATCCCGCCTGGATAGATATCGCGAATGCACTTCAACATTGAACATTCCTGCATATATTTCTGTTTTTTTGCGAATTTAGGTTGAAGTATGCCATCTAAACCTCTGAAGGCAATATTCAAACAATATGGAGTGGTTATTTTGCACCCAAAACCCTTGAACTGCAATTTTACCACTACCGGTCTTTACCTTTAAACAAAAAAAGTGCACGTCTCACCTCATTATTATTTTCAAGTCCAATTTTCTTGAGGTCAGCTAAAAAGTAGTGAGAATTGGGCATCTCCATAGTCACCTCACTGACCTGTAAAATAATAGAAATCAATAATTAAATTAATTTTTTCTTTTAAAATATATATAACATATTTAAATACATATATAATCAATGTACAAAGTATCTTTGATGTCTTGGTGGCTACTCTGGAAGTGTCATGGTCCAGTGGATACATTGTCAGACTGTGGATCACATGGTTCGCGATTCGAATCCTGCTGCCACACTAATGTCCATCGGCAAGGCATTAATCTGCATTTGCCACTCTCTACCCAGGTGTTAAATGGGTACCGGTAGGAAGGATTCCTTGAATGCTGTTCTCACCGTAAATGGTAGCCTAGCAGAACCAGGGAATTAAATATTGGAGCGCCGCAAGCACCTTGCATGGTGGATATGTGCGCTATGAAAATAACGAACATTATTATAATTATTTACTCTCGTAAGGCTCATTCAGATATTAAGTGGTACACTGGGGTGGTTTTTTGAAGCGTTAAATGAATAGCAACTCTGCGAAACAAAAGGCCTACTCATTTTCACTAAGAGGTCAGTGTTATTTGAAACTGAAATGCTGAAAGTGAAACTGAAAGGGTAATAATTATCCTTGCTTATATAGCGCCTAACTTTATAAGAAGTCTGTAAGCGCTCGACAATAATGCAGCGTAATTACCCTGGCTTTAGCAGTGACGCTGTTACGCGCGCTGTGTTTCAAGGAATAAATTCCTACCAGGTACCCATTTACTTCACCTGGGTGGCGTGTGGCAAATGTAGATCAATGTCTTGCCAAAGGACATTAGTGCGGCGACGGGACGGGAACCGACGTATCCACTCGACCACAACACCTCAGGGTACTACATTGACGTCATTATTTAAAAAAACGCTACTTCATATCTCAACAAGGTTTTAGTAGTGCTTAAAGCTTTAATAATACAATGATCAGATGTACTAAAACCTTCTATATGGATAAAAAAAGCTTGGCCATATAGATCAAGGAGCTCTGTTTAATACAGATCTTTGTTGAGCCCTGCTACCATGTTCGCAACCTGACCTGCTATTCATTTACCCGTCAAATAGTATTTACCCAGGCTTTAGTTCTGGGAACAGCACAGTGAACTCAAGGAATAATCCCACCACGTACCCATGTTTGTCACCTGGGTGGAGTGTGGCAAATGTAGATTAATGTCTTGCCAAGGATGTTCGTGCAGCAGCAGGGATTCAAACCCTTAACCCTGTACCTTGTGGCCCATGGTTTGGACACTTATCCTCAAGAACCATTTGATACCTGCCTATAGAGTACCGAAGCTGTGACATCATAACAATCTATTTCTAGAATTTCTCAATTTTTTTCTTCATTTTCCGAAAGAGCATCAAAAATAATGTCCAAATGTTAGGAGCCAGAGCAAATAACACTGTGTTCCTATGGGAAATATATTTATTCAGATGGTCATATCTCAGCCAATACTAAACATATTCAATTGGTTTTCGACATTTGGGCATTATTTTTGATGCTCTTTCGGAAAATGAAGAAAAAAGTGAGAAACTCTAAAAATAGATTTTTGATGACGTCACACTTCAACACTCTATAGAGAATTCCTGTCCTTACCTGTGGAATGAGCTGAAGTATTTTCCCTTGAGTCAGATGGAGTGTGTGTTGGACAGAGGCAGAGTAGACACCAGTCAACGGAGGACCAGCGAATACATCCAGGATAGCTTCCTTGGCCAATTGCCTGATAAAACAAATAAAAACAAAGTCATATTTTGAGTCACTTTTAACGTAACTTCAGTTAAGTGATAACACTGTGTTATTGATTTAGAGACTTACCGGTAGATTTTAAAAAAATGGGGTCTAAATTTTGAGTCATGCTGAAAATTTGACACTGAAATCTAATACAGGTTCAGTTTCAATAGCTTGTTTGTCAAAAAATGTAAGGAAGAATTGCATATAACATAAACTTGGTTAAAACTGAAACAAAAAAATGTTGTATCTACCGGTAAGTAAGGACTGGACTAATTGTATTAAGCCTTTGGATTGATAATTAACCCATAGAATGTCTGCATATATAATCTCAAATTACAGATACCGGTAATAAAATTCAGTTTTGAAATACAATACTTGGCAACTTGGCAGCTTGAGATTTTACATTTTCAACACAACAACTTGCCAGATTAAAACATAATTCTTTAGATTGCAAAAACTCTTCGCTTATCTGATTTTGAAAGAGTGATACAGATTTCCAGTCCCAATATGTATATATCTCAAGAGGCTTTTTGAGATTATGAGAGTTCTTTTGGACCTTCCACAACTATTTTTCACTGCTATATATGTGTAACACAAAACCAACAACTTTTGGAATGTTCATGAATTTTGTAAGTAGCTTGGATTCACAAAAATGTAATGCTGCAAAATCAGTGAATCACAACTGACCAAACTTGCAATATTTTCTCTCCCCTAAAAAAATAATAACGCTTCAGGGGGGTGTTTCACAAAGACTAAGATCGCCTTTAAGTTGGACTTAACTATGGCAGGCCATTCATGCTACTGGTTGCTCTCACTATTGGTCTTTCATTTATGATCTTTAGCTAATATTTTTTTCTTCGATAGTGAACTATCAAAAAATGTAAATTCTGTAGATTTGTGACAACGATTTATACGTCCCTTGAGAGACCAATGCCAGTAAATCGTAAGAACAAACAGTGGCATGAACGACCTGCCATAGTTAAGTCCAACTTAAAGTCAATCTTAGTCTTTGTGAAACACCCCCCTGGTTTTACAGCATATTCTTTTGTTGCTTGAACGTACCATGCCTTATCTTCGTCCAGCCCATAGAGCGTTGCATAGCGCCATCTAGCATAGACGCTGGTTGAGAAGACACGATCAGTCACCTCTGGCAGTGAAGTGTACTTATCCCTGATGAAGCCCACAAAGCCAGACTGGGTTGTTTTCAGAACTTTGAGGTCTTTCAAACCGGCCCAAACCTGCACGAGACCTGGGACAAATATGGAGGTTTGTACAAATGGATGTGCTTGTTTAAAGGTACTATGTCCCATTTGCAGGTCAAAAAAATGAAAAGGTTAAATTCCAAAGGCATTTTAAAGACAATACTTATTTAGAACTTCCCTCAAAACGAAAGGGTTTGAAAATGGCTTTTTGTGGGAAAATAACGACCATTAGTTGTCGAATCAACATAAGTGATTACAATCACTTAAGTTATAGTCTGATTTTCAGAACCTTGTACCGAATTGTCATACGTTTTATGCTGCGCAAAGATTCAATCAGTTTAATTTTGGCCATTACAAGTAGTGGTTTATTGATGTAGACAAACTCTCATGTACCGGTACCTGTTACAGCTCACTTTATGTTTGTTATTACCAAAGAAAAAAAAATGTCAGTCAGTCACTCAATAGTGTCTAACAGGGAAGTCTAGAAAGTAAACAGGTTTCCTTGCATAATATGAATACTAGGACACTGCTAACGTTTAAATTTCACAGATAGGACAAACATGACATAATAATTCCTGCAAAGCTCTACAGAACTTGATGATGGCTTCAAAAGGGACAGAGTATCTTTAAGCATGGGTTCTTATGGGAAATTTTACACTGTTTTGGTACTGACCCAATAACAGATGTTATCAATCTCAGGGAGTGTGGCCTTCACCGTTAAAGACAGGTCTGCTGTAGAGCACTGCACCTTCCATCAACCAACCCATAAGGAAGGTTCATCATCATAAATTTCCCTCCTTGAAAACTCTCCAAGAGACTTGGAAATGAAGTGGTATATTTCTGACATGATTTCTTAGTGGGAAATATATTTTGCTGTGGGTGAGACTTGTACAAACATTAATGGTATTTCCACCAAGTCTGGAGTCAGTGAATTACCGGTAATGCATACTGCACATAAGTCCATATTGCTACTCAAACTGTAATTGGGTTACAAAGCTTCTTGAAAAAAGGTTTTGATTAATATGTTTTATTAACTCTTTATTCACTACAGAATGAAAATCAAGACAGATTTTGTGAGTATGTAGTACACGGTTAGCATGGAAAAAGTTGACTGTGGCAGTACACGGTTTGTCCTAATTGTTGCTAATAGTATGAAAAGAGTTAAATAAAATCAAACTTTAGAAGATTATTTTAAGGCTACTTAAAACTATTATAAAGCCTATTTGTTCATAATTCCTCAAACAAGCCTCTAGATGGGTAAGTCCAGGGTATTTGCTCCCAAGTATTTTTGAAACATAAATTGACAAAATCTATATCTTTATTGGGTGTTATGATTCAATCTCTGGTAGGGCTATCAGCTTGATGCAGTAATCCAATGTACTGAAATTGTAGACGTGGTCAGTACCCGTCCGTATAGGATAAAATAGCCTGGATCTGAGTAGAGTTTGAGATGTGTGGACATAATTACCTCCCCTTTCTTGAAGTAGATCACAGAACCTTGTGCATTGCTTCTCAATGACGAAGGCATGGACGTGCTCCTGGCCTCCCTGTGTGATGCGTTTCCATGGCGCCTCCTCTATGTGCACACGGACTGCAATGACGTGACGGAATGACGAGAGGAAGTGTCGACACAAGGCCTGCCCGAACTGCTCCGGGGATTTCACCTGATTAAATCATTTGGCAAAGAAAAATGATAACGATAATCAGCACATACAGTGCTTCTACTATTGCTACTGCAATTACTGCTACTGCTGCTGCCGCTACTCTACTACTATTGCTACTTCTGTTGCTGCTGCTACTTCTACTACTCCTACTTCTAATACTCTCACTACCACTACCACTGCTACAGCTGCTACTACTACTACTCCTACTACTATAACTACTACAAATAATTCTAATAATACTATTTATAATAAGAAGAAGAAGAAGAACAATATTTTCACAACTACTACTTCTACTACTACTTTTAATGATGATGGTGTTATTATTAAATTATTGATTTTAAAGCAACAACATCAGCAACAGCAAGTTCAATATGAACTGTGTAACTGAAAAACTGCAATTGTAAATATCATAACCGTGTACATGACAAGTGTCTCCTCTTTCAAAACATATTATGGAGCTAAGGCAGGCCTTCATATGTTTAAGAGTTAAGACCACAAACCAAACATCGTTAAATAATAACCACATTACAGCGGACTCACCCCGACTAATTTTGCCAGAGCATAAACAGTATTCTTCTGTGTGTCGGTGGCAATGATATCAGAATTGTCGCCGCTCTCAAAATCTTTCTTGGAGCTGAGCGAGAGGTGGACGTTGACTTCAAATTCCTTGATGTGGTGCACGTTTCCTTCTGCTCGCAAGCGAAGCAACTTCACTGCGCTCTTGCCATAGTAGGTTTCCTCTGGGATAAACTCCATCTTCTGCGAATAAAATGATAAAGAAGAAAATAAATGTTTCAAACTCGTAGTTAGAAGCTTCCAAGAACAATTTCGGGCAAGCCCAAGCTATTTTGTCCCGTACATCACATCACAGACCTTATCTAAGATTTGTATGTATCTGATTGTTGTATCAAGCTATAGCCCTACTATTCAGAGCTTTCATCAGACCATTCATGATCTGAAAAGACATATATGATGTCAATTTATGTTCAGAACCCTACAATACTCGGTGATGTATGGACACCAAATGACCAAATACCTTAGACTTGCCTTTTTCAGTTCAGAAACCATTGAAATCTTATTTGAGGCTCACACATGCACCATGGACACACAACTTATGACTCTACCCAGAAGACTTTTGCACAAGCTTAGTCTCTCGGTTTTTTTATTGATTGAGAAAATAAATGTCCTTGGCAGCATGCCATTATCCTTTCCCCCCATGTAGCGCACGTACACCTTTTCACACAAAATAAACACAAGTATGTAAATTCAATATTGACACACAGCAAACGAGATCACCTACCCAGCCATAAATTTTGACTGTTTGCATTTAAATATCAGCTATTAATAGTACAGATATGAAACACGATCTTAGTCCCAACTTCAGACAAGATTATAACTTACAAGTATATAATTTTATAAACATGTAAAACTAAAGTCTGCTATCAAAGGATATAACTAGGCGTTGTGGCGTGCGCCTGTAATCCAGCTAACAATGGAAGTTACAAACTGATTCAGCCGAGGAGGCAGGTTTAGAAACTGAGTCACGTCTTTCGGATGGTGACGTTTAAAGGTTGGTCCCAAAACGTAAATAATCATATCTGATTGATACTCGTCTGTAAAAACCCAATACACACACTATAAATCTAAATTTTACATGGTTGATGAATGAAGTGAACATTTATGAAGAACACCTTGTAAATGACAAAAAAAATTAACTTATGTGATTTCATTTCAATTACTGAAAGTTCAAGTATGAAGTGATAAAAATATAATTTCAATGTTGTGCAGTGGGCACTGGGCAGATACTGTTTAGTAGGACCAATTTTAATGTCATGACATATGTACACTGTACATGTACAGGAAATGTACACTTGCTTTTGCATCAAGGAAATTCAGCTTTTCCAGCTTCATCATTACAAATGTCAAGATATGGTATTTCGCTTGCTTGCCCAAGTTGACAAGTAGGTATGTAGCATGTAAAAATAAATAAACAGTAAATCAAAAATCAATGATAAATGCCTTTGTTTATTTCTTCGAGAGAGAGAGAGAGAAAGAGACAGTGAGGGGACAGGAGGGAAGAGTAGAAAGAGGTAGCAAGGGTAGTAGGATTGGAGGGAAGGAGGGAGGGAGGGAGAAAGAGTTGGAGGGAAGGAAGGAGGGAGGGAAGGAAGGAGGGAGGAAAGGAAGGAGGGAGGGAAGTAAGGAGGGAGGGAAGGAAGGAGGGAGGGAGGGAGGGAGAAAGAGTTGGAGGGAGGGAGGGAGGGAGAAAGAGTTGGAGGGAGGGAGGGAGAAGTTTGGAGAGAGAGAGAGAGAGAGAGATATGGACAGCATCATAGCAGGGATACAATTTGGTTGTTTTGGCGTACGTGGGTGCGACATGGCAAGCCAGGTAAGGGCCTATTTTGGGGTAAGCCAGGTAAGGTATGGAATATGGTTCGAGTTTTTTTACGACCAATTTTTTGTGTATAAAATGTTACACGCAGATTCAGCACGTGTGTGCGCGCCAACCAAGAAATGTACACAATGAATACGAAGCTAGAAGAGAGCGCGCGGCCGCTAGTAATCGTTACGGGGGCGATTTGAGATCATTTCCTTTTTTGATGTCGCCCCCGTAATCAGATTTTGGGCCTATTTTGGGGGCTGTTTATGGTGTTTCCGGGGCAAATTCGCCCTCCGCCCCACGAGTATTTATTAGGCTGCTTTAAATTACAGTTACGAAAAAAAATTCAAACTCACTGGTTCGGCTTGTTTGGCCGACGATAGTAGACCATAGAATCATGTAAAATGTTGGTATCCGAAAAAAGCTCAACAAAAATTGAAGTTGCATTGCCAATACACCAGTTTACGGTTACAACAGTGCGCATGTGCAGACATGGGCGCCATGTTAATTTACAAGTAAACAAACCATTGACCTCTAGATTCAATTGACATTATTATATTTATAGACTACTAGATCTAGATCTATATAACTATAAACAGATCAATGCAATGTAAACAGCACATAGAACGTCACTGAATGCCTACCCGGCCCGCGCACCATTGGGTCTTTAGAGATATGAGTGTGAGGTATTGTGAATGGATATTTGAAAGCGTGTTCACTCGTCAGTCGTCACACAACATAACTCTTATTTTTATTTTAGCTACGAGGAAACAAGGTTGCACTGACAATAAAATACATGAAAGAAAGTATTCCCTTTTCGTTATGTTTATTGGGTACTGATGAGGCTGACGTACACTTGCAAAGTGTAGTCAAGCACAAGCCGAAGATTCGGAATGAGAATGCATAAATGAGAATTGAAGATATTGCACATAGTTACATAATGATCAAAGATAAGAATGAACATGAATAAATGCGATGAATAAATAGAGCTTACGACATATATGAAATGCCGTCGAAAGTCCAATGAAGAAGAAGAGAGTTGAGAACGAAGGAAGGGGCTCATGCGATGATGTGCGGAGGCTTGAAGGCGGAGATGCAGCTTCGTTGTCGTGGCTGAAGAGCCGTGAAGAATCTCGACGCTGACGTCCGTGATGAAGATAGTGAAGAAGCTCTCAGGCGAGAAAAGAAGAGACGAGATGTGGCGCTCGACGACGGAACAGTGGGTCGTTCGATGTCAGAGGCGAAGAGTAGAAACGTAGACATGCAAAGCCGGCACTGGTGCTGAGTAGTAATAGTTGCTCGTTTGATGCGCCGGACTTTGATGAAGAAATGTTTAGATGAGCTGCGGTGAAATGATGAGCTCGTGAGTGGAAAGAGCTACCGGAACGAAGAAACTGGCAGCTCCCAGCGGAGAGTCAGGCGCCATGTCGGTCCTGACTATAACGTTCCACTGGGAGACTGCAGCCCGATGAACATGGCAGAGAAAGAGTTGACGTGCCGTAGAAAAGACGAAAGGCACAGAAGAATACAGCCTGGAGAGGAAATTGCGGAGACGTCTTGACTCGACCAAGGTGAAAGCAGGAGTGGAGAAAAACCTCGTGGAGTTGAAAATACGCGGGGGAACGATGCTCGATTGGAAGGAAAAACACACGTGGTCCGAATAATGCATATAAATAAGTACCGTGATGGAAAAATACAGGAGACATGAATGTACGATAAAAGTAGGGCGAATGTAAGAGCCGCTACAGGTCCAAAGAAGAAGAGAACAGGAGAGGTGGAGGTGGAGGTGGAGGAGGAGGAGGAGGAGGAGGAGGAGGAGGAGGATCGAGGAGGAGGAGAAGAAGAAGAAGAAGAAGAAGAAGAAGAAGAAGAAGAAGAAGAAGAAGAAGAAGAAGAAGAAGAAGAAGAAGAAGAAGAAGAAGAAGAGAACAGGAGAGGTGGAGGTGGAGAAGGAGGAGGAGGAGGAGAAGGAGGAGGATCGAAGAGGAGGAGGAGAAGAAGACGAAGAAGAAGAAGAAGAAGAAGAAGAAGAAGAAGAAGAAGAGAACAGGAGAGGTGGAGGTGGAGAAGGAGGAGGAGGTGGAGGAGGAGATCGAGGAGGAGGAGAAGAAGAAAAAGAAGAAGAAGAGAACAGGAGAGGTGGAGGTGGAGAAGGAGGAGGATCGAGGAGGAGGAGAAGAAGAAGAAGAAGAAGAAGAAGACAGGAGAGGTGGAGGTGGAGAAGGAGGAGGAGGATCGAGGAGGAGAAGAAGAAGAAGAAAAAGAAGAAGAAGAAGAAGAAGAAGAAGAAGAAGAAGAAGAAGAAGAAGAAGAAGAAGAAGAAGAAGAAGAAGAAGAAGAAGAAGAAGAAGAAGAAGAAGAAGAAGAAGAAGAAGAAGAAAAAGAAAAAGAAAAAGAAAAGAGGAAGAGGAAGAGGAAGAAGAAGAATACGTGAGAGTACAGAAGTTGAAGGCGAGATTTTGCACAGATTGATCTCGACTCAATCACTTGAATCACTACCATACATATTTTAGCACATGCGGGACTACATATAAGAAAGGGGATCTCGACGCGACATTATTTACATTAAATACATGTTGTGCGAACGCTAAACAAAATCATATATTTCATGGTTTCTCAGTTAAGTCCAAAGACTTGAACAGCACTTTGTGTCACCACTATACAAGCGGCATAATTCACTAAACTCACCATCGCCTGGGTAGTTCTTCTCGGTGATATAATCCTGACGTCAGCTTAGATATTTATAACAATACCTCGCTCTCCGATCGCGGATCCGGGGGGGGGGGGGCGCCCCGTACGGTGGTACTTCCAGTCCCCTACTGTATACATGGTCTAAATATAAAAATTGCGTTCCTAGTTTTGCCCCGGCCCGGCACAAATTTTGACACACACATTTAAACAAACACACTCTTGAAATTACTCTTTTTTATTTATTTCTTTTCTTATTTTTCTTCTTAACAAAAATCCACCACCCTCTCTCCCCCCCCCCCCCCGGCCCCCAGAATCTATGGCTTCCTTTAATTTCGATTTTTTTTTTTCTTCTTCCTTACTTTCTCTCTGTATGGGGGGGATTTAGAAGGGGCAGATCAAGGTGGGGGCCGAATCGGCCGCCCCCCCCCCCCTCCCCGCCCCCCTTTCCCATTGGCGGCCTAATTAAAATAAAAAGTGGAGGACAGAGCGCGACAGAAGCCTATTGACGAGAAAAGAAAGGGAAGAAAAAAGAATGCAAATGAGAAGAAGAAAGGAAAATGAGAAGAAGAAAGGAAAATGAGAGAAAGAGAGAAAGAGGGGGAGAGGGAGATCGAGAGAGAAGAAAAATGAGAGAAACGCAAAATAAACGGGTTGGAAACCCCGTCCCACCGCATGCTATGCGTTATGCGTGCATAATGTAGGCCTACATCGGGGGGGGGGGGGGGGGCGAATCTTTCCTTCGTCTTTTTTTTGGGGGGGGGGGGGGCCTATTATAAAAAAAAGGATAAGTGAAAAAGAGAGAGTGACGGCAGAATAAGGAGAAAGAAATTGAAACAAAAGTAAAAGAGAAGAAGATATCGGGAAAGAGAGAGAGAGAGAGAGAGAGAGAAGAAAAATGAGAGAAAAGCAAAATAAACGGGTTGGAAACCCCACTCCACCGCAAGCTATGCGTTATGCGTGCATAAAATGAACACATCAGTTTTGGATCGGGGGGGGGGGGGAGAATCCTCCCTTCTTATTTTTGTTTGGGGGTGGGGGGCTATTAGAAAAAAGGATTAAGTGAAAAATAGAGAGTGACGGCAGAAAAAAGGAGAAAGTAATTGAAACAAAAGTAAAATAGAAGAAGATATAGGGAAAGAGAGAGAGAGAGGGGGGGGGGGGGGGGGGGGTGGGAGAGTGAGAGGGGAAAAACATGAAACTTAAATTTACACATAATCACACGGCCGATGATTTGACTCGTAAATAGAACAGTACGAAAAAACAGACTCTATAAAATTGTCTTTAACTCTTAGAATGCCACGCAGAATCATGTATGGGATCATTTACGTGCGCTTTGTACAAAAGTGTGGGTTAAAAGAGAGACGATTAAAATGAAATGATAGGGGCTATGTGAATTTGAGGGAGAAAATTCCGGAGAAAATTACAATTTCCATATACGGACGACGGACGACGTACATCATAAAGATTCCAATTTGTTAAAACTGACGATCTTCCGTGGGATCCTCCCCCCTGGAATTCCCGACAGGGGCCCTAAGGCGGGCCCGTGGACCCCATCCGTACAGACAGAAATGATTCCCAAGACAAACGTTTTTTGAATAAAATTGTCCTTACATGAAGAGCTCGGTTCCAATAGGTACTACATTTTAGTTTTATCAAAATCGGATCAATTTTTTATAATTTTTTTTCCTCCATTTTTTTCTTCATTAATGTACACATTTCCAATAGCCTCATACACTGACATTTCCAAAGAGCTGAATTTCCAAAATAGTAAAAATGCAATTTAAAAATCGATTCGGTTACAAAAGATACTATTTCCATTCACGTTATGCACTGTAACAATATGCAAGATTTTCGGTTAAAAAAAGTACTACATCCAAATTCGGTTCTAAAAGGTACTACATCCACAAAAATTTAAAAAAAACATAAACTCATTAAAAATAAAATTGGTTCTGAATCGCTAAGATTCAAGAACATCCGAGGACTCCGCCCCTAGACCCCAGAAAGGTTTACTTGAAGTGCGACTTGCCCCCCCCCACACACACACACACACCCACGATGACCCACCAACCTTTAGAAAATCCCCTACAACCCACCCGTTCCTCTTGCGACAGAAGTAAGAGATTATTATTTGTCTGCGGTACGATTGTATAGCAGACAAATGTTGTTTGTATCGTTAATGAATGCATACTTATGTTGGGTCCGGGGCTGTGCCCCGATGGAATGTAATTTGCATAGGCAGCTCGTACAGGTGTGCGAGCTAATTCTGCCACGGAGACCAGGGCGTGGCATGAATTAGTGTGTAATTGAATCATTCTAGCTTGAACTTTCAACGAGACAACTTTTATTTACAATAAAAGTGCGTTGTGTCATGTAGTGTTATAATATGACTGTGTTTGAATAAGGTTTTCCAGAGTTTTTATGCTCGTTGAGTTTTATCTCTGGTTTTTTATCCTGGACCATGATAGGTCCGGTTTCCAGTGAAGGAAACGGTTTCCAGTGAAGGAAACGAGAAGAAATGTTTGTTAAACATTCATACTGAATAAACGGTTGGCTCTCAGTAGTCGTTGTCAGGCTATTCCACAATAATTGAAGTGTATTATTGTGTTATTTGTGTGTATTTGGAGTCAAGAGGGATGACAGACGAAATAATATGTGAGATTATAGGACAGACCCATTATGCATGTGCAATGATCAGGATGGATGCACCTGTAAAATGTGATAAGCTTTGTTAGGCATAATACGTTATAGCACTCTTTTGTATAAATTATGTCCAAAGTGCTCCCCTGCAGGAAAAATGTGCAGTGATCACAGACTGAGGAAGATTGTTCCAATCTGTAAATAACTGTCTACTTTACAGGAAGTGTACACCGAGATCGAGTCTTTATCTTTGCTTGCGAGTGACTTAAAGCACTTCAGGAAACACTTTAAAACTGCATGGAAGCACGTTTTAATTGCAAGGATGCAATGTAGGAAACACTTTATTTCTGCAAGGAAGCATTACAAATTAAGTGAGACCAATCCTTGGTGAGACCAAAAAGGTATTTTGTGGATTGGATTCTTGCTCAATTAAATAGAGCCTGGAAAACGAAGCAAAACAAAAAACAGTTCGGCCACCATGGGATGCGGTCTATCGTTCATCGCCGACGATGACGTGAAGTCTTCACATCACGAAACAAACCAAGATGACGACTCGGAATTACGTCATCGACCACCATCGCCACGCGATGCCCATGATATCAACTTAAATCGTATCAAGACCATTTCCAAGTCAGTTGCGATTGATGAAAAGCTCGGTGTGGTTCCACATGAGAACGTGGATGAGCCCGGTAAGTAATACTTGCATGATGTATTGATCGATCATTTTTAGGTTTATTTAGGTTATTATTATTTTAATCAGTTTAGTGCTTAAAATCGTTCAAAGTGGTTTTGTTAAAAACCAGGGGCGACAGAGCGTCTTCCAAAGTGTGGGGGGGGGGGGGGGGCACCAACAAAAAGGGCACTTTCTGAAAAAGGGGCACCTACAAAGGGAAACATCAAAGTGAACATATACCATTTTAAGACATTGCATGGTATATACCCGTTTATACAACGTTATGATTGTCATTACACCAGGGATGACTTCAATATTTGTTTCTCTCTTTACGCGGGTACAAAATACTGCTTAAGCAACATAATTTTCAGTTGGGTGTGATGGTCTGAATACTAATTTTCGAGCGAGCGAGCAAAAAAAAAAAAAGATTTTAAAGGACGTAGTGCGAAAACTTACATCTTATAAAGAGGACAAAAGCAAACCCTGATCAGTTTTAAGCACAATCTAATGAACAAAGACTGAAAAGTTCTTTAATAAGTTACATAATAATTATAACAACGTTAAATGCGAGCAAACGTAGCGAGCGAGCTCTAGGGAAAATTAAAGTAAAAGGGGCTCTATAAGTCGTTTTGAATTAGGAGTGCATGTTTTATGAAGAAAGAAAAAAGTAGGCACTTACCAGAAGATGAAAAAGGGCACGTATGAAAATGTAATAGGGACACTCTTTGCAAAGGAAAAAGGGCAGTTGTGGAAATAAAAGGGGCACTTATCAGATTTTCTGATCTTATGAAAAAAATTGGAGGGGGTGCGCTTATCACAAGGAAAAGGTTTAATAATAATAAGGGGAAGGGGCAGTTCTTACAAAGAAAATGGGCACTTGTCCTATCACTCCTATGTAAAAATGGGCACTTTGTGGTTATCTAAAAATGTGTGGGAGGGGGCACTGTGTTCAAACTGATATTGATAATGGTCTTATATTGTTTAATGAAAGTTGAATTTCATTTCATTTCAGATTAATTTTATTAGTTTACGAGTATGTACATACTGTAGTAGTATACAGATGTAGACCTACATAATAATAGGTCTATAATATTCAGATTACACTAACACGTATTACTGGAACTCCCTGGTAAGCAACTATTGTCGCATTGTGAGCCCTTTCAATTTGATACAAGCAAAAAAAGGGGGCCCACAGCTATATACCGAACAACAACAAGAACTTATAGATTTGAGAGAGAATGCATATGAGACTGAGAGTGAGGAATGAACAAAGTCACAGAAGAGGGAATAGGAAGCTTTTTACCCTTGGAGCGAAAAATAACACATTTGGTCTTTTGAACATTCAACAATAACTTATTACAACAATACCATGCATACAGTTTCTGAATCTCTTGATTCGCAATTAGTAATAAATCTTCAGCCTTCTTATCAGCCAACAGCAAGCTGGTATCATCAGCAAAAAGTGAGTATGAGAATAATGTTGATGAGTGTATTATATCATTTATATAGATCAGAAACAACAGGGGACCAAGAACAGAACCCTGAGGTACACCATATTTAATAGAAGCAAGTTGAGAATTAGTACCATTCACCACAACTAATTGTGTCCTGTCAAACAAATAGCTTTGGAACCAAGACAATGCTACACCACGTATTCCATAATGCTCAAGTTTCCTGAGGAGGATGCCGTGGTCAATAGTATCAAACGCCTTAGATAGATCTAAGAATATCCCCAAACAATACTTTTCTCCATCAATAGCTTTTATGATATTACTTAATAAATTAAACACACCCATTTGTGTGGAGAAGTGCTTACGGAAACCACACTGCTGAGGAATCAAGATATTCTTTTTAGATAGAAACTCATTTAAGCGTTTATAAATTATTTTCTCAAGAATTTTAGAAAAGATTGGTAACAATGCTATTGGCCTGTAATTAATGACGTTTTTACGGTCAGATTTTTTATACACTGGTACTACTTTAGCTACCTTGAGTTTATCAGGAACAACTTCCTGAGATAAAGACATATTCATGATTTTAAAATAAATAATAATAATATTGGCATTTATATAGCGCTCTTACAGACATACATGTGTATCACAGCGCTTTACAACACTACATTACTTAATTGACATTGATAGCAAACAATAAAATTACGTACACAAAAATATATAAATTCAACTATTAAAGAGAAAGGTTTTCAAGGAACGTTGAAAGATAGCGAGAGAAGGAGAAGATCGTACAGCCTGAGGGAGATTGTTCCAGAGACGTGGTGCGGAAACAGAAAAAGATCGATCCCCAAAGCGTGTACGACTCTTTGGAACCGAGAGCAAGGTTAGGTCGTTGCCAGATCTCAGACCATGCCTTCCTGGTTGATGTAATGAGAGAAGGTTTTGGAGATAGGAGGGAGCCATTTTATGGATGCACTTGTAGGTCATTGTGAGAATTTTGTATGTGATTCGCTTTTCTATTGGAAGCCAATGGAGCTGACGAAGGAAGGGAGAGGCATGGTCATGCTTCTTAGCGCGGAACACCAACTTTGCTGCTCGGTTCTGAGCTCGTTGCAGGCGATTGATATTTGACATAGAAATATTACATAGAAGAGAATTGGAATAATCAGTCCTAGATGTGACGAGAGCACGTACAGCATGCTCACACGCGGACTTGTCTAGGTAGGGTCTGATCCGAGCAATATTAGATAGATGGAAGTGGAGCGTACTAGAAAGTGATGACACATGGTGATTCATTCTCAGTGAAGAATCTAACACCACACCAAGGCTCCTGACAGTTGTTGAGGGCTCGATGTCTGCATCACCAATTGCGAGGGTAATGTCAGACACCAGATGACTGAAGTGAGGACTCACAGCAACAAGAAATTCAGTCTTTTCGCAGTTCAACTTAAGCATATTTACACAAGGGATCAATAAAAAGGTGAATGCACTCCTTTATAATTCTAGGTGAAATATCATCAGAACCACTAGATTTAGATGGTTTCAAGGACAACACAATATCGATGATCTCAGATTTTGAAGTTGGTTTTAGAAACATTGACGCATTATCATCACACTGTTTCATATAATCTTGAAAAGATTGTGGTTCTTGAGGAATGTCTGCACTGATTTTCATGGGTAATCCAATGAAATATTTATTAAAACTTTCAGCCTTATCCTTAGCAGAAGAAAGAAGTACTCCATTAAAATCCATCTCTTGAGGGATCGAGTGAATGCCTAGTTGACCGACCTAACAATTCATTGATATGAGACCAAGTTTTCCTAATATCATCTTTAACACTGTGGAACAAATCATTGTAATATTTTTGCTTGGCTATACGAAGAGTATTAACCAAGACATTCTTATAATCGATATATTTCTTTTTATTCTCAGCTGTTGGTCTCTTGACATAACTACCATAAAGCTTATGTTTATGATTTATTGTTTTCAATAAACCACGAGTTACCCATGGCTTTTTACATTTACTTTTTATCGATACTTCAATTAATGGGAAACATAAATTATATAATTCCAGAAATATTTGTAGAAAATGTTCATATGACTCATTGACGCCTTCCAGTGAAGGCAGAGCCTGCCAATTAATTTCAGCTAAGTGTTGCTTGAACCTTGAGATTCTTGAGTCTGCCGAAGTTACATAAATGGCTTTCTATAGGTCGTTGAGTAGATTTTGACGGGTTGTGTGAAGGTTGCGTATACAATAAAGGATAATTGTATACAGCTGTGTTTTGGCACTACTACTGGTAGTGACTACTAATAGCTCTGCTGATGTGTCCAGCATGGGAGAACACTGACTTTAAGAACAGCGCAGGCGCAGACTCGAAGTATTGAGCATGCAAACTGCTTTAAGGTCTTGACGCACAGATGATGATAGGGCTGGGCAAGTTGCAACAGGGTGTTCAACATCGATCCTCTCGCTCTGCGCTGCATGCCCGACACAGACGGCAGTAGTCATCAGTTGCCTTCCCGATCCTGACGTACAAGCCTGACTTGGGTCAGGTAGACTTTGCAGGAGATCTGGGCTCGAATGGTGATAGCTGACCTGCGGACTTCGATGCATCGGAATAACAGGGCATTCATATGCAAATAGCTAACATTTGCGTCGGGGCTTATTAAGTTAATTATTGTCACCAATACACCATTGAAAAAAACAGTTCCAACCCGAATCGAAGTCTTGCTTTTGAGCTTAAGGGGTGCTTTTAGACATTAAAACTAATTATTGTTAATGTTGATATCTATTTACTTATTTATTGAACTCTCTTTTTGTACATTATTTCAGTGATGCCTCCAAACAGTTCGTGCTCAACGCGTTACTTGGTGGCCTACCTTGCGTGTTTAGGATTCCTCACGGCATTCATGGGAAGGGCCGCATTGAGTGTGAGCATGACGGCCATGGTGAATAGCACAATTGACCACGAGCTTTATGAGATGAACCACCGTAACCAGTCTTTTGATTTTCAAGTGTGTAAAGCAAATGGTCCAACGAACGCAAGTGCTAAGGGACAGGTGAGTATACGAGTGTAATTCCCATAGCGCAGTTTGGATTTTCTTTAAATGACTAAATCTATCAGCATTGCCTCTTCAAGTTGCATGGCACCAATTAATCTTTCACCCTTTCATAATTTAAAGGTAGTTGTCCCTTTTGCAGGCTGAAAATATAAAATTATGTAAATCCTATTGTTAACAAGAGATAATACCCACTAAAAATTCCTCTTAAAGGTACTATAATATTATGTCCCTTTTGCAGCCAACCTCAAATTCTGTAGAACTTTGCAGGAATTATGAATATGTCATATGTTCTATCTGTGAAATTTAAACGTTAGCAGTGTCCTCATATTCAAATTATGCAAGGAAACCCGTTTACTTGCTAGACTTTACTGTCAAACACTATTGAGTGACTGACTGACTTGAAAAGAGTTGTAAAGGGTACATGAGCATTTGTCTACATCAATAACCCACTTCTTGTGATGGCCAAGATTAAACTGATTGAATCTTTGCGCAGCATAAAACGTATGACCATTCGGTACAATTGTCTGAAAATCAAGACTATTACTTTTGGGCTCTATAGCCCTAAAGTCGATTTGACAACTAATAGTCGTTATTTTCCCACTTGAAGACATTTTCAAGCCCCACTTTTTTTAGGGAAGTTCTAAATTAGTATTATCTTTCAAATGCAGTTGGAATTTAACTTTTTCATTTTTTTGGCCTGCAAATGGAACATAGTACCTTTAAAGGTAGTTGTCCCTTTTGCAGGCAGAAAATATGAAAGTATGTAGGTCTAAATCCTATGGTTAACAAGAGATAATACCCACTAAAAAATCCTCTTAAAAGATTAGAACTGGTTATTGCCTCCATGTGGAATTATATCAACCGTAAGGAATTTGAAACGCGTTGCAAACATAATAGGACCTAAGCCTATAACTAGAAGGTAGTTTTGTGCTGAGTAAAGACACGATGGCCCGTATTCTGAAGTCAGGTTTAACTTTAAACCTAGGTTTAAGTCTAGTCTAAGCCTCGTCTAACTCTTAGATTTAAACCTAGGTTTGACATTGCGTTTCTGAAGTCGGGTTTAACTTAAAGGTACTATATGTCCCATTTGCAGGCCCAAAAAATGAAAAAGTTGAATTCCAACTGCATTTGAAAGATAATACTAATTTAGAACTTCCCTAAAAAAGGTGGGGCTTAAAAATGTCTTCAAGTGGGAAAATAACGACTATTAGTTGTCAAATCGACTTTTGGGCTATAGAGACCAAAAGTAATAGTCTTGATTTTCAGACAATTGTACCGAATGGTCATACGTTTTATGCTGCGCAAAGATTCAATCAGTTTAATCTTGGCCATCACAAGAAGTGGGTTATTGATATAGAAAAATGCTTCGAAAGAGATTTTTTTGTGTCGAATATTTTGAATTGAAATTATTAAATTTGCAGCACGAAATCCAGCTATAAAAAAGCCTTTATCAGCTACCCTGGAAGATGGGTGAGTTGTACTGAGCATGTGCAGTAGAAGCAGACTACATCTCCATGGTAGTTACACCTTGGTTTAACTTTAAACCTGGGTTTTAGACTTAAAGCTGGGTTTAACTAAACCTGGCTTTCAGAAACTGAAAAGATACTTAGACCTGAAGTCTGGCTTAGTTAAACCCGGGTTTAAAGTTAAACCTGGGTTTAACTAAACCTGACTTCAGAATACGGGCCATACGTTTAAGTTTGATCATTATAAAAAGCGGGTAATTGATGTGTAAACATGATAATGTACCCTTTACAGCTAAAGCCCCTTTCACACCGGGCCATACGTATAGTTTCGTAGTGTTACGTACCGCCTACGTCAAGTGTATGCTGGCCTACATTATATGATGAGGGACGCAAAAATTAAACACGTTTGATTTTTTTTCACATACTTTCGGCGTAGACACTAGACCCCAAAAATATGCATTTGTTACGCAAGTCTACGTAACACTACACTACTGTACACCATGCCTCCGCAATAATACGCTACCCTACGCCAGTCCGACAAAGCAGTAAAAGCGTATAAATTAATTGAGGCTTCCTAGATCCTATTTGCGCAATTAAACAATAAGCAACCGGTGTGCACAAACGTAAGCAAACCTACGTACCCTTTGCGCCAGGCCTACTTAAACGTACGCGTCCGTACGCCAATTGTATACGCCGTAGGTACGTGGTGCCTTTGCACAGGGTACGAAACCATACGCAATCGTACGCCAGCCTATACGCATAACCTACGCATAACCTACGCAGGTATACGCCGAAGCAACATTTTTTTCATGAATACGCAGCCTAATTTCGGCGTAGTCAGTACGCCACACTACACAACTCTACGCAGATCCGGTGTGAAAAAGAATTCTTAAAAGTTATCTATGTTATTACCCAGTTTTTTAAAAAGTCAGTCAGTCAATCAACAGTGTCTGTCAGTGAAGTCTAGAGAGTAAACGGTCTTCCTTGCATAACTAGGTCACTTAGAACGTTTAGATTAAGACAAATCACAATGTATATTGTATGAATGAATGTGAATGGAAAGCAATGCAGCAAACATGCTGGTTTGTATACGGAAATATGGATGAGAAATTCAACTCTGCATTGTCAATTTAGAAACGTAAAGCTTATTTTCATTAGATTATTTATCAACTATTGATTGAAAAGACCGGAGTTAAGAACTATTTATTTAAAAGAGACTGAAACATGAAACTTTAATTTAGTCTTCTGAAAAAATCTTCAGGCTGTAAACAAAAAATCTTATTTGTCCTTGCTTGCAATAATGCTCAACAAAAATCTGAACTCAAGCTAATAAAAAAAGAAACTATACATTATATCTTATTTTCAATAAGAGTTTGTTTTATTATTCATTTATTCTTTTGTTAGTATATATATATATACATACAAACATAATTAAACAAACACACATACATACATTAATTGATTTGTTTTGTAATCATTTATAACAAAACAGGACGGCCCTTTCCAATGGAGCAGTTGGACTCAGGAGCTGATTTTGGCATCTTTTTATAACGGGTTTCCATGGTTACAGCTTCCAGCTGGTTACCTTGCCGATGCAAATGGTAGAGCAGCGGTCTGGCTGCTAGGGTTTGGTTATGGTGTGTCTGCAGTCTGTACGCTTTTGACGCCGTTGGCCGCCCATCTCGGAGTACCTTTTCTAATGGCCACTCAGGTTGTTTCGGGTATTACACAGGTGCGTCGACGTAACTTTCCTTAAAGGGATAGTTGAGTTCTGTTGCTGAGGGCGCTACACACAATATTTTTTTGTGAGATAATGAAAAAATGAGTGGCAAATTTGAAAGAACATACAATTTAAATGACAAAATCATCTTTGTTTGATCAAAATCGGTTCGGGGGCGGCTGAAATATCCATAAATACAACAATTTCTAATACTTGTGTACCACCACAAATATTAGATAATTTGAAAAATCCATTGAAAAAAACGAAATAGCGCCTTTTACGTCGTATTTCAGCCAACGCCGATGTTGGCTTTTTTGTGTTGGTTATATTACGCACAACCAGCCGGCCCATGTATTGTTATTTTTAATTAAATAATTAATTAACGGTCACCGTATTTTTGTTGTTGAAAGTGGAGCTGAATTGGTATGATCGTATTGGCTAAATTTCACACCGCGGACCTTGTGATCCACAGTCCGGTGACATATCCACTTGACCACAGCACCTTAAGCTTAAGCTATATCAAGAATATGGGCCAGATGAACGACTCTAGAAAGTTGCGTTCACATGCTCATTTCATTCCCTCTAATTTGGCATGTTACGAAATTCTTATTTAATTGTGGATCGCAATGAGTGTCGATTCTGACAGACATAAGCGCTTTACAAGAACCAACTATTATTTTATTATTATTATCATGTTATTGTTTTTTTCGTTTTTTTTCTTCAACGCTTCGAAACAGGGTTGGACATTTCCTGTTTTCATTGCTTTAATGTCACGATGGGCGCCCCCTAGTGAGCGTAGCAGTCTTGTTGCTATAGGAACGTCAGGTAAGACAATAGCTATGTTTGCACGGCACGGTCGTAGGTTTAAACTTTAAGTTTGTGATAACTCGAAGATTTTAAAGACCCACTTACAACAACGTGGGCTCACACTGACCAGAAATAAAGATTGATCACTGTTTTATAAAGCAGTCGTACAAGCTGGTGAACCTTTAAGTTAATTCCGTCCTAACGGCCCGTTACTTCTGCTCTTATAGTTTCTGTTTAATACTTAGAGATAACTTTAAGTTCATAAACCACAAGTACGTTCACATGGTCCTTTACTGTAAAATATAATGTCGAAGTTTTCAAATTAGCTGAATATCACATGGACCTAGCTATTGGTTAATTTCATAGTCGTAGTCACCGCTTCTCTCTCCCTGTCTCTTTCCGTCTACCATTCTCACTCTTTTCAATCTTCCATCACTCCCTTTCTCTCTCTCCCTCATCCAACTAATGACTTATGTTTCCTTCTCCTCCTCTCTAATTCTCTATCGTCTCTTCTCTCTCTCTCTCTCTCTCTCTCCACTCCTCTCATCATCTCACTCCCTCTCTTTCGCTTTCTGAAGGTATACCATTGGGCCAGGTTATAGGGCAACCTGTTGCTGGTCTTTGGGCAAGCTCCGAGTTCGCTGGGGGATGGCCCTCGGCATTCTACTTTTCAGGTGAGTGTGGTACCGTGGTAATGTCACATATGTCTCTGGACTAGTAAAGATGTTTTAAAAGGAACGCTCGGCGTAAATATTGGGAGTGTGTATATTCTACAGTTCATATTCTAACACAATGTACCCAACTTTGGTAACCCCTGATTAAAAAGGCATAACCACTATGACTTTGAAATCTATTTCATGATGACGAGTTACTTGTTTTTCGTCCAATGATACCCTTATTCATATTATTATTCATATTATTTCTGCCATGTGTGACTGAGCACCAGGGTCTTGAAAGTGTTGCAAAAAATCGCCTTGTACCAAGTTCGGGCTGATGGAACGAATATGGGTCAGGCCATATGCATGTGCTTCTTTGGTCTTTAATCATTTCAAAAGTTAAATTATGCATCATGCTTCGGTACTTCATTGTTTAAAATGATGCAACGTATCTAGGCTTTCACGTAAACCTTGTTTCAATTCATAGGACAACCTCTTTTCCGCTGTGCCATTACGCATGCGTAGGGAGCAAACTGTGTTTATCTTGACTAGCGAATGAAAACCCAAAGGTTATTAAACCCAAATGCAAGAAAATACACATAATTAAGATGATAATTATCAAAGAAAGTGACACTAGACTTTCATAAAACATCCCATACAAACCATATCCATATTGTATCAATCAATGAGAAGGGTAACCTTGTCTGTTCTGTCCTTTAAATTTGTACCGTTTTAACAGGGACCCTGTGTGGAAATATTGGGAGTAGCCTAGATATTATACTCCTCAAGCATTTTTTCAGGGGGGGGGGGGTAGGAGGCAAACACTTGTAAAATAAGAATATACACTGTATATTCAACTTATTCATTTTGTCTTTAATGTAGAGTTTGAATAGAGACACTTAGCATAAACATTAACAAAATGTTCTACATCTACAATTGAAAAGATTTAAATGGCATTTTTAGGTGGAGGGGGCAAATCTACCGAGGGGTTATAGTAAAGCAAAAAGCATTTCATTGATTGAATTACTATATTTTGTCTCTGTGTGGTGTTTAGACAGGAGGATACTCTACAAACTACATCTAGTGGCCAACACTTGCTCACTTTTTTTTCAGGGGTTGGGGGTTTGTGGGAGGGCATTCAAAGGTTTCAACATAAACTAGACAAACGTAATGTATTTGTTATGCCTTGTTGCGTTTTTTTAACAGGGGCGCTTGGTGTATTGTGGTTCATCGTGTGGATGTGCCTTGTGTATCCTTCACCGTCCTCTCATCCACGCATCTCATCAAAAGAACGAGAATATATTGAGAAAAGTCTCCTTCATGAAACCAAGGTAAACACGCGACAGGGGCGGAGAACAAACGAACGAAATGAAGCAACCCCCCCCCCCCCAACAAAACAAGAACAAATATGAAGAACGGAAGAAAAAGTATACAAATGATTTTTGAAATTACCATATGACATCTAAACTTTATAATGGGGTGAAAATAACAGCCCGTTCCCGTATCCGCCTATAGAGGCGAAGGAATAAGCCCTAAATCTTCATAGCCTATTTTGAGTAAGCTTTTATACAGATTTTTGCATTTTCCTAATTTATTTTGTTGGTCATAATTAATATACCAAACTATGTGCATGAAAGCCTTTGTAATAGTAGGGCGTATGTATCTAAACTGTGTAGTAGGCTCCCAGTTGAAAAAGCGATATTAAATTTGTTAAGTGAAGAAAAGAATATCAATATCAATAATCAAAGCACACAGACACGATCTCAACTGCTTAAAAAAATTAAACCTTATGCATTACCAATTGAAACATACGAACATGACGATGAGATATTACGTAATCTGAATATGATTTTCTATTGGATGTATACAAGGATTTTCAAAATTGCCCTTGAGCTGATTTTCGATCAATAAATGCGATTGTGTTCACAGCAAGTAAATAATGTAATCTATATACTTTCATTCACACATGATCATATTTCTTTTGAAGAAAGCTGCAGTGTACCCGTGGAAATCTATGCTCACATCAGTTCCTGTACTAGCTGTATGCATCGCAGATTTTAGCCTTTTGTGGATCCTGTATCTCTTCACAACGAACCTACCTATCTACCTGAAAACAGTGCTTCAATTTGACATCAGACAGGTTATTACATTTACTTCCATTTACAAGTCATTGTAGGAGCTTATCCAGCATCACTTAAAATGAGAGGGGGGGGGGGGGGGGGGGAAGAATTCCCAAAAATACACAATATTTGTGTGGTAGTTGTGTGTGTGCGTGTGTGCGTGTGCGTGCGTGTGTGAGGTGGGTGTGCGTGTATGTGTATGTGCGCGCATTTTTATATGTTTGGATACCTAAGGTATACAAATTGGGATTAAGGGGCCGGGGTGCATGTCCAGGGGCCTGTTTAGAAATGCTCTTTACGAAGAGAGGGTGGATCGAGTCTATCAATACAGGAAGGTGAAAAGGGTGAGTGATCCCCTGTGTGCCATAATAATTGTTATACAAGATCAACTGCAAGTTGGGCCTTACAGGAGGGGAGGGGTGAAGTATAGATAAAGGATTTCCTTAAGATGAACACCTTTCCCCATTCTTGTTAGTCCTGTCAACCTTCCACAAATGATCTTCGTATTAAAATTAAAATACTAAATTCAGTTTAATATTTCTGTTTCTGTACATTATACGAAATATAAGCTGAGCAACACATTTGTGAAATCACAGATATAACTAGCTCAGTAGGTATTGACTAAGTGATACAATCTTTCTTTTCTTTATAGACGGGATTTTTAGCGGCAGTACCATTCGTGTTTTACTGGTTGGTTTGGACAGTTGGTGGAAGATTTACAGACT